GTTCAGAGCTATGAAATTTTGGAAACCTGCTGATGGTAATGAAGTTTCTGCTGATTATAAGATTGCTTCAAAACAAGACCATACTCCATCAATCATTGCTTTATAGAAGACAAAACATACCACAATTAGAAGGCTCATCAATTGAAAAAGCTTTAAAAGGTGGTAATACCGTTCATGAAGTTGCTGATGCCCATGTTATTATTGATTCAACAGGTTCAGAAGTCTTAATTGCAATTAATTCCTCTGAAAGATCAAAAGAATCAGGTATTAACACTCGTGTTGTTTCATTACCAGATTTCCATACTTTTGATAGACAACCAAAAGAATATCAATTATCTGTTTTACCAGATGGTATTCCAATCTTATCTGTTGAAGTTTTATCAACCTCAGGTTGGGCTAAATATGCTCATGAACAAATTGGTATTGATAGATTCGGTGCTAGTGATGAAGCTCCAGATGTTTATGAATTCTTTAATTTTACTCCAGAAGGAACTGCTGATAGAGCTGTTAAAGCTATTGATTTCTATAAAGGTTCTAAACACTTCTTAATTGAAGTTAAAAATCCATTTTTTTGTTAAACCATGATATTTTATAATTGTAGATGACATCATTTTTTGATACGTGTAGTTATCCTATGTAATTCACTTTAGTATAGTTGATCTTGAGCAGTATTGATTTTCATATGAAGGGAAGAAACAACTAGAAAACTTCCCTTGAAGAGAAGAAAAAAGTGGCAATAAGAAATTTAAAGATATTCAGGATTTCTCTTCCTTTTATATTCTTCTTTGGATTGTTCTCATGGTTTATATTCTCATATGAAATGTGCAATTTAACATAATTCAGAGATTAAGCTTGATTTTTTAAGAAGTGAGTTAATATTGTGAGTGGTTTTACTCGGTTAGCTTGAGATAATGGGATACTTACCAATATCCACCAGCTTACTATGAAATAATCTAGTGACATGATTGTTATCTATTAGAGCAGGGCTTATACTCATAACTTAAACAGAAAATAATACTTAGTGTTTTTTGTAATTTTTGAGTATATAGATTATTCCTACACAATATAAATTTCACAAATTAAGTTATATTAAAAAGTAAATATATATAAATTAAAAAGGTAAAAAAATATTAAAAACTAGAAAGATTTGGGGGATCTTCAAGTTTAAAAATTAAAAGAAATTGATTGTCTAGCCTTTTCTTTATCTTCATTGTCTTCATTTTTTGATTCATTTGATTTTAAACCAATATAAAGACATTGTAAAAGATAAGCCAATAATAAAATGATCATTTTTAATAAAAATTTGAAAAAAGTTCCAATATGTGTTGAATTTTGTGATAAAAACATACCAAGAACAATCAAAAATTTCCAAAAAGCTTGACCTAAAAGTTGAAATGATTCTGCTAATACTTCAGATGATTTCTCTTGAGTTTGAACAGTTAAAGCATCTGAGGTTGGAACATCAGGATTTGGAGTTGGGGTAACTTCAACTGATTCAACTTCCACTGGAGTTGGGGTAACTTCAGTAGAAGATTCAACTGGTGCAGGAACTGAAGTTTCTTGATTAGGAGCAGCGACAACAATATCAGAAGTAGTATCAGTAGTAGCATCATTAGTAGCAGACTCATCTGATGCAGACTCATCTGATGTAGATTCATTTGATGAGGTTGTAGATTCTGAGTCAGCTGATGTATTTTCATCTGAATCAACAGCGGAATCATCATCATCTTCTTCATCATCTTCTTCTTCGACAGCGGCTATAACTTGTTCAGATCTTTTCAATTGTTCATATAATTCAATTTCAATAGCTTGTTCTTGTAAATAACCATCGACTAATAAATGAAATGGCGCATTATAAACAGTCATTGTATCATTTGATTTTGGAGCAAATTCATGTTTAAATTCAGCTTTATGTAATTGATTAATAAATGTACGATCTTTCAAGAATTGTTTACATCTTGGATCCATATAATAGAAAATATTTTTACCTTTTTCTAAATCATTCATGGATTCAATTGCAAACCCTGTGAATGTATGAAGACCACCAGTTCTATCCAAGAAGAATTTATAAATGTATAATCCGTTTGGTTCATCATCTCCAATCTTAAGATCTTCAATCTTTTTTTTAGGTTGGTTATAAATAAATTTACATGTTTCTTTATAACCGTTTTTATAATGAATTTCAGACAAGACTGGAAGCATCGGTGAACTCTTCTCAATTTCTCTAAATTTTGCAAGTTTTCTTTCAACTCTATAGTTTGAGAGGGTTAAAGTTCTTCTGAGACGTGACATGGTGTAGTAGCTTTAAAAGTTTTGTATTTGGGGAGTTTGTTTAGTTGTTTGTTTAGTTGCTTGTTTAGTTGCTTGTTCAGTTGTTTGATTGTTTGTTAATAAGTAGCTTTAAATTAATTTTTGGTTAATTGATTTGGCTAATTATTGGATGGTGATATTTAAAAAGAAGGAAGAAACAATTTTGAAATATTCAGGATTTCCACTTCTTTTATACTTTTTGATTAAGAAAAATCACAGAAGTTAACACTCATTAGTTTAAGCATTATTCATGAGAACAAAGAATTTGGAAGTATATTATGAGTTATTTGAGGTCTTTTCATGAGTTTTGATTTTTCAATTTCTTATTCTTCATTTACTCTTTGGTACAAAACATATAACAAATTCATACAATTTTAACACCTGCAATTTTCCCATCTTCATCTTTTAATAATTGAGCTCTTGATCTTTTAACCAATACATTTAAAGCAGTTTCTAATATGACTGGATGTATACCATGGAACTCTTTGTTTAGACTCAAATCACCTTGACTAATTTCATACATTGTTAACACTGTTCCATTTTGTCCAGTTGATTCAATCTAAGTTTTTTCAGAGTTAGTATTTATGAGCTTATAAAATGAGATAAAGTAAGACTTTAAAATGAGAGTTTTAGAGTCAAAAGAAAAACAAGAACAAACATACCCATTCAAGAATCATAGAAGCCCAATCTTCAGGTCTATAGAAATTAATGAAAACACTTGATTGATCTTTCTTAGTTATATAAAAAGCATCATTATTTTTAACCATTTGTTGAAAAATTTCATTAATAACTTGAGGTTCTAATCTTCTTTGAATTTTATTATTTACAAATATCCCATCTTTGGAAATCCCATCATCTTGATTGATTGATAAAGAGGTGATTGATTCTTCTAAATCCTCGATATTTCCTTGGGATAATGCTTCACCCTTGTTATTCAAAATCCATACTTTATTAGCCTTGCAATAGGATAAGATCAATTGAATCCAATTGTTCAATTGTGCTTGCCATGTTTGTTCATTTGGTTGTTTTGTGAAAAAAGGTGGGAAATTATAGATCTGTGGGAACTTGTACTGTGACATTGTGAGTTTCTTGATTTGTAGTGGATTTTGTAATTCTTTTGTACTAGTTGTAATTTTTCAATGGTGATGATTTTTTTGACCCGTTGAAACTTTCGCACATAAAAATGAAAAGTAAACAAAAGAATTAAATAGTAAACAATCACAAGATCATAAAAGTTGATTAAGGAAAAGTACCTATTTGCTCTTAAGAATGTCACAGGATTTGAAGAACAGTGTGCTCAGTCTCATCAGTGACTCTGGGATCATGGAGATCGAAGACGGACCTGGTATTGAAGCGTATAAGGACCTACAGATCAACGACACGACAAATGAACAGAAACAAGTGAGATTATACCATAAGTTGATTGAATTGTTGGATAAATTGATGGTACAGGAGGAAAAAGTAGGGGAATTTGGATATGAAGAAGTTAAAAAAGAGTTGATACAGAGTGAAAAATTGGCATTGTTGGTGAAAGAAGGTGAAATACCTAATGATGATGAATTATTAAGATTCTTGAAACAAGTTCAATATATAAGGAGAATGGTGGTTGATTCGTGAGTTGAATTATTGTATGATATGAGTGCGTGGTATGCATACTAACCTAAAGTATAGGACTACAATGACTCTCCCCATATTACGATCAGTTCATCAAGTTGAAGGGTTAACATCAAAAGAAGCGTGAGTAGAATTTTCTTCCTCAGGGTATATTAACTAACAAATTAAAGCGGTATTGGAGTTAAATTAGAAGAAAGAGATGATTTAATTGATGATATAATAGCATTGGAAAATGAAGTATCTGCAAGACAATCAAAATTGAATAAATTAAATCAAGAAATAAATTTAAAATTTGAAAAAAGTAAAGAATTAACATCAAAATTAATTGAAAAACATAAAAATCAAATTTCAAATAATGGTATTGATAATACAAAACTTAAAATTCAATTACAAGAAAAGCTAAAAATTGCTAAAAATAAATCTTATAACCTTTCAGAAGAAATTCAAGCATTTCTTGTAGAAAATGGTATAAATTGGGCTAAAGATAAAAAACTAAGAGAGTTAGTATTATACTGTGGAGATATTTATGAATGATTAATGATAACAATGATGTTTTGACTTTCAATGATATATGTAATTACATAACTATAATCTATATGAATATAATTTTAATTTTATATAAACTATTCTATTTACAAAAAGATTCAAAAATAACCCCCGGTTAATTATTGAACATATAATCTTTTATTAACAACATCCCAATTAATATTTTTGAAAACATCTTTAATATATTCATCTCTACCATCAACACCATAATCTGTAATAAATGAATGATCCCATAAAGAAATACCTAATAATGGTAAAGTCCAATCTTGTGCTTTAGTTAAAGTACTTTCTTTAATAGATTCCCATGCTTCTAATTCAGTTAACCCAATTGGACCATTAAGATCTAATGAATGATTCCCACTGAAATTATATGGAGTACCACTATTATTTAATGTTAAAATTTCTAAATTTTTTGATTCATTTTCAATTAAAAAAATCCAACCTTGACCAATAATTTCTTTTGATTCTAAGACAAATTGATCAACTAGAGAATCTAAAGAACCAAATTTTGAAATAATTCTAGAATTTAATTCTCTTGAAGGTGAAGTATTATTTTCCTGAGAAGATATTAATTGTTGGAAAAAAAAATGATTATTATGAGTTTGTGATGCTATATTGAAAATATTTTGTTTAGAAGAATCTTTAGCATTTGCAATGGCTATACTGAAAGGATAACGAGTTTCATCAATAGTACCATTTGTTAATAAAGTTAAATTTTTTGTTAAATAATTTTGATAATCTATCCAAGCTAATTTAAAACCTTGTGATGAGTATAATCCATTTATACCATTTTTAATAAATTCATCTTGTAATTTTAATTTTGGTGCAGTGTGTATCAATCTTTTACCCAAATTTTGAGCAGATGTTTTCATACAAAACATTTTGAACACAAATAATATATGATCAAATTATAATCTTTAGATCTAAATATTCCAAAGTTTATTATACGTACGTTGGAAAAAAATATGGTTCTCGAAAAATTCGAGAAAAGTTTAATGACACGTTAAGTTGGCAGACGACTGCCAATATTTGTATACTAATGTATAGTGTCAATAAAGACATATAGCATAAGACTACGATTTTATGTCATTTCTGACATCTTTTCATTCAAAGGCATAGTGTTTTATTGATATTTATATTGTGTTTGTTTGTTAAGTGGTATATTAAATATTATATATGCTTTTTTTGAGAAATATTCTAAGTTGATGTAGATATTGATTGTACCTAATTGATACTATATACGTACCCAATTTAGTAGCGTAATTCAAAGTGCAGCAATATGACAAATCCATATTAATAGATTTTATGACTTATTATATATCTCTTTATGTACTGGGAATATATGGTGTTAATTGAATACTGATCAAAACAATTTATATAATAATTATAATAATAATTACTATCATATGTATTACCCGGATACTAATCTAGTGGCTACGGTTATTAATGGTTATATCAATCCAAATACTTTCTATTGTTCAATGTACAACACAATCATATATTCTACTTCAAATTCACAATAATTAAGATGTTTAGTATACGAAATCTTACAAGACTACATAAACCAACATCTTTCCTCCCAAAATCAACAAGATTTTACTCTCCATTACCAAGATCTCACGGTTCCAAAGGATCTCGTTCTTCATATCAAAGAAAGAATCCAAATTCACAATGGGGACAACCAGAACAAGAACTAGGATCATCATCATCATTCCAACCAGAACAACTTGAATTTCAAACCGAACCAAACACTCAAAGATATTCATTTGATTCTTATACCGGTTCAGTACCAAATCCACAAGGGTTATTAAGAGAAAATGATGGTATAACTAAAATTCTTAATGAACCAACAATTGTTATTGAAAGACAAATTGAAATGATGAATGTATTTTTAGGTTTTGAACAAGCAAATCAATATACTATAATGGATGCATTGGGGAATAAAATTGGTTATATGGCTGAAAGAGATTTAGGTTTTACAAAGGCAATAATGAGACAAATTTATAGATTACATAGACCTTTCCATGTTGATGTATTTGATATTTATGGTAATCAAGTCTTAACAATCAAGAGACCTTTCAGTTTTATAAATTCTCATATTAAAGCTATATTACCTGGATTTGAAGATTCTCAAAATTTAGATGCTGGTATAATTGGTGAAAGTGTACAAAGTTGGCATTTATGGAGAAGACGTTATAATTTATTTAAAGCAGAATCAACAAATGAATTTGAACAATTTGGTGAAATTGATTCAGGTTTCCTAGCATTTGATTTCCCAGTTAGAGACTCGGAAGGTAGAGTTATTGGTGCTGTTGATAGAAATTGGGTTGGTATTGGACGTGAAATGTTTACAGATACTGGTGTTTATATTATAAGAATGGATCCTCAAAGTTTTGCAGGGATGGGAGAATTATATCCTGAAGTTGCAGGTCCATTAACTTTAGATCAAAGAGCTGTATTATTAGGTAATGCAATTAGTGTTGATTTTGATTATTTTTCGAGACATTCAAATAGAGGTGGATTATTTAGTTTTGGTGATTATGAATAAATTATCAAATAGTACAAATATTTATAAAAAATAATAATTGATTCACTGCATGTAAATATATATAAAATATTTTGATTTGGCTTTATAATAAATACCAGAATCCACAGTAAAATTTATTACTTTCCATCACTTGGAAACACAAACCAAGACACCAAGACCCTGTAATAACACCTATAACACCTATAACACCGACAGATCAGCAAAGTGAAAAACTATATGGAATCTGAATCAGTCAGAAATCTGGACCCTGGTATCTCAAACGGTGTAAAGAATGTGTGGTTGACGGTTGTTTGAATGTTGAAGCATCCGCAAAGGAGACATCAAGCCATAGTGCCATAGTTTATTATTGACTGGTTGTATTTAATTTTTTGCTTGACAGTGGTGTCAAACGCCACTATCGCAGTTTCATCACATCACAGTTGAAAGTTTATCGTGCTCGATGAAGACAGATATTGGACAACTCCACTATGATTGGCTTGTTATGTAAGGGTTTTTGGTTCGTATTATTTTAATATGGCTGTCAGTGGCTTGATCTTGAATCTTGATATGGAGTAGTCTTCGGGAATTTTGAAAAGTTGATTGATATTCGTAATCCACAGTTTCCAAATAAGCTTGATTAAGAAAAATTATGAGATTTACATATAAGCTTAAATAGATCCCTTAAAAGATGAGATCTAGGTAATTTATTCTTGATGTGTTTTTCCCTTTTATACCCATTGGTTCAATATGTCTTGGTTGAAAAAATCCAAACTTGAATCTTCATCATCACAAGATGATAATGTTGAAGTTCATGATCTATCAACAAATATAGATGAAATAGAAAAAGGGAAAGTTAACATTAATCAAGAAATAAAAGATGGAGGTAGTGAATCAGATTCTTCTTCAGTATTTGGTGAAGATCGTCATCGTTTGAAAACTTCACTTCATCAACGTCATATTCAAATGTTAGCATTAGTTGGTGTTTTCGGTACTGGTATTTTCCTTTCTTCAGGTGGTGTTTTAGCTACCACAGGACCAGCTGGTATGTTTATTGCTTATTCCCTTGTTGCTACTATTGTTGGGTTTAATCAAGTTGCTCTTGCTGAAGTTGCAACTTTAATGCCTGTTTCTTCAGCTGTTGTTCGTCATCTAGAACAATTTATTGATCCTGCTTGGGGGTTTGCATATGGTTGGATAACAGTTTGGGGGTCCATTATGCCTGGTGAAATTAGTGCTGCTGCAGTTATTGTTTCATATTGGACTGATATTTCTCAAGCTGCTTGGATTTCAATAATTATTGTTATTATAATTGCAACAAATTCTTATAATGTTAGATTTTATGGTGAAGTGGAATTTGTTTTTGCAATGATTAAAATTTTATTATTAATTGGATTAATTATTGTTTCTATTGTTATAACTTCTGGAGGTGGTCCAAATCATGAAACTATTGGATTTAGATTTTGGAAAGATCCAGGTCCTTTTAAAGAATATATAACTGTGGGTAATTTAGGTAAATTTGCAGGTTTTTGGAAAACTTTATCAGGTACAGTTTATTCATTTGGTGGTGTTCAATCTGTCCCATCATTAGCTGCTGAAGTTAAAAATCCAAGAAGAACTATATTCACTGCATGTAAAAGAATTTTTTATAGAGTTACTATATTAATGATGATTACTGTTTTTTGTTTAACTTTAATTGTTTCATCAAATGATAAACAAATTGCAAGTTCAAGTGGTAATGCTCAACATTCACCATTTGTTGTTGCTATTAAAAATGCAAATATTAAAGTTCTTCCACATATTATTAATGCTGCAGTGTTAACTTCAGCTTTTAGTGCTGCTAATTTATCAATTGTTCATGGTTCAAGAACTTTATTCGCATTAGCTGTTAAACATCAAGCTCCAAGAATTTTCCTTAAAACAAATAAGAGAGGTTTACCATGGGTTGGTTCAATATTTGTTGCTGTTTTCATGCCATTAGCTTATATGAATGTTTCTAAAGGTGCTGCTAATGTTTTCAGTTGGTTTCAATCTTTAACTTCAGCTAATTTATTAGTTGGTTGGATCTTTATTTCAGCAAATCATATTCATTTACATAGAGCTATGAAAGCCCAAGGGATTTCAAGAGATAAATTACCACATAAATTTAGATTTGGTCCCCAGGCTGCATGGATTTCAGGCTTTGCATCATTATTATTATTATTAACTGGTGGGTTTGTAAATTTTATTAAAGGAAGATTTGCAATTGCCAATTTTTTCTCATCATATTTTATTATTCCATTATCTTGGGGTCTTTATTTCTTTTGGAAGTTTTTCAAGAAAACTAGATACTATAGACCTCATGAAGTTCAATTAGATGCTTTATTTAAAGATATTGAAGATCATCCTGAAGAACCTGCTCCAAAAGTTAGAGGTTGGAGAATTTTAACATTATTATGGTCATGATTTATAAAGTATATAGTATATGCATATACACCGTTTTACTTGTTTTATTTAATTCAATATCCAATATTATTCAAGATGAATATTAATGTGCTAGCTGTTTTTCAAAAAATGTCGTACCAAAATTAGCCATATCAATTAATATTTGAATGTATTGAATTAATTATATATTAAATTTCTCATGAAAGTACTCTGATTACATAATACAATATTTCAATAATGATCACTAGTATCATCTTTCATGAAGAGAAAGGCATAGTTGAGCATTTTTTTCGCATCAGACGTTTATATGTTGATCGTTTCAAATCCTACATTGATTACAATCAATAGTATGGATTACAGTACTTTTATATTGATTCTTATATTTAAAAAGGGGATTAACCCTGACGTATAGATCAATGTTTAATTCACAATAATAATTTTCACGCTATTTACTTATGTTTCATGTTTGATTAATGGTGATGAACTATTTTGATCAACTGATATTTGTTTAATAAGCTGATATAATTTTTGTTAAATATAGTTAATTGTAGTCTTTATAATTTGAATTCTGTAAACGAATTATATAACTATATACTAAAGCAAGTCATGCTTTATTTACTTTCACTATTAAATTTGAATCATGTTCATCAATGTTTTCATCACCAGTCCCTAAATATTTTGAAAATTAAACCATTTAAATAAAAATGGAAGGTGCCAATGTGTCAAAATTCTTTATGATCTCATGATTTTTTATTGAATTAATTAATAGCGGATTAAAATCAAATGATTCAAATTAAACTACTAATAATGAAGAATAATTGATAAAGAAAAAGCTAAACAATCAATTTCTTTGAACATTAATGTCCCCCAATTCTCTAGTTTTTTTATGATTATTACCTTTCTAATAATCTTTAATATAACTTAATTTATAAAATTTATATCATTAAGTGTAGGAATAATCTATATACTCAACATTTAACAGAACAGCTAGCTGATACCGTGTAATTGCTCTACACTTTAATAGATGACAATCACTATTATTTCATAGTGAATCAGTAGATAATGGCCCATTATCTCAAGTTAACCGAGTAAATCCACTCACAATATTAACTCACTTCTCAAAAAATCACTAAATGTCTCAATTATGTTAAGTTGCACATTTCACATGAGAATATAAACCATGAGAACAATCCAAAGAAGATTATAAAAGGAAAAGAAATCCTGAATATTTTCAAATTTGTTATTGCCACTTTTTTCTTCTCTTCAAGGGAAGTTTTCTATTTGTTTCTTCCCTTCATATGAAAATCAATACTGCTCAAGATCAACTATACTAAAGTGAATTGCATAGGATAACTACACGTATCAAGGAATGATATCATCTACAATAATTTATCATGGTTTAACAAAAAAATGGATTTTTAACTTCAATTAAGAAGTTTATTTTCAATTTATTAGAAGCTCTATAGACTTTTGAATTTTAAATATTGTCTTCACCTCAAATTCTAAAAAACAATTAAATGACCAATTTTGATACTTGAATAACTAATATGGTTAACAACAACCTAAAAACTGAAGTAGCTAGCAGCAGCTCAATTATCATAACCAATTAAACCTTAAGTTTATATGTATATCCAAGGGGGTTCTAATTTAACTGAAAAAACCATGATGATGAGGTAGTAAAGTGAGAATAATTATATTTTTATCTCTTATGTTTTAAATTTCTCTCAATTTTATTTGTGTGCTTAAAATTTTTGTGTTGGTGAGGTTGTATTTTTTGATTTAAATTTTGTGGTGTTGTATCAGTTTCCAAAATGTGTTCAATGAATTGTAATAATGTTTATATTATGATGTTGAAGCTTTAGAATTTTTATTGAAAAAACCGGTTCATGAATTCACATAATATCATTTCAGCCATTGTGAATTTTCATTAGTACAAGTTATTATTCAACTTATAATCAAATTCTTATTTTGAGCTAATAGATCTTGACCATCTATAACATAATTTGATATTAAACTTGTTTTAAGCAATGGTTAGAATAACTGGAACCAAATTTTTCAAAAAGCACAAACCATATTAAATAAATTTTATCAAAACAGTTACAGCATTGGGAACATGATTCGACCTGAAACGACATTACCATTTGCACATTCACCAAATCAAAAGAACGTATCAGTCAAAAAGCAACCATGAATTGATGAGTTAAAGTACCATGGACAATACCAAATAATCTAAAACAACCAAAAAATGAGAACCTTGTGATGAAGTAAACCAAACCATCCAAAATGAATATAACTTGATGACACAAACTAATGGTAAAAAACTCAAAACAAATTCATCCTATGAAATAAAAAAAACACACCAAAGTACCCCATTCTAATGATCTATTCATGGTATCACCAAATACAAACAGTTGCTTGAGCTGGCACCTTTACCAATAAGTAAGACCATTCCATCACAGTATGAAAGATCGGGCGGTGGATAAAACAAGGGTGAAAACACAAATAAAAGGACAAAGGTTTGGAGCAATATTTTCATTATATGATAAAAAGTTTCTATCTCTAAATAGCAAATTTGATCCGTGCAAAAGGAGAAGAATCAAATAACAATGAAAGTAAACTCTGGGGATTTGGATTCATCTTATATAAAAATCAATTCATCAAACCACTATTTCTTTGACACAAAAATGAAGACACAAACACAAAATTGATACCTTAATATAGTAATAAACAAAAGATCTTGAGCGGTAATTAAATCACAGTAGAGAATCAATATCAGTAAGCATCATCATATGTTACACCATAATCACCAGAAACCAATTCACTTTAACCGCTGAAGTGTATACTCTTTGTATCGTTTCAAAAGTTGACAAATCTGAAAGTGTTGATGTTTTGAAAAGTAAACAAACATGTAATTACGTAATCCACCATTTTAATAAGTGCTAGATTCAATCAATTCTATACAATAAGAAAACTACTTTGTAAGAAAATCTTATAGAGCTGTTGAAAATGGTTGTCTTTTGATGAACTTATTAAAGAATATACACTTTCTCTTTGATTTTGTTAAGAAATTACTGGGAAACTTATGAAAAAGGGGGAATAATTGATCCAAAGTTCTTTTCTACAAATACACTCCTTTAAACAACTCATGGCATTTATCAAAAAAACAACATTCAGCTCAAAAACGTAATAATTCTCAGCTAAAAGCTCTTTTTCAATGAATAAAGTACTCCTTTTGAAGGTATAAGAGGAAAGGAAATCCTAGAACTTTCCAAAACTCTTCTCACCTCCAATTTTTCATATTATAACAATTAACAACGATAAATTCAATCAATTCTATTACAACAATATGTCTAATTCTCAAAACCCTTCCCCTGCTGAAAAAGAATTCAACAACAAACCTACAAAAAGGTTCAGAGTAAAACAATCATTGCCAACTTTAGGATTGTCATCACTCCAACATAAAAAAAGAGTTAGATATGAAAATTCTGCTGATACTATTTTAATACCAGGCGTTATATATATTTCTGGATATGGTATGTGTTCTTTACAATAAGAACAAAAATACAATTGAAGACTTCAAATTCCTTAATCAAACACTTCAAACCCCAGATTATTTCATTTATAAATTCCACATTGTTCAAGACAATGGTATTCACAAATGTGAAGGTTATGAAATTTATCACCTTGATGAAATCGAGTTCAATTTTAATAAATATCGTTCTGTTGCTTATTATATTGATGATAAGTGTTTTGAGTTTCTTAATACTTGTTTATATGTCAATCCAAAAGGTAAAGCTGCTCTTAAACCAAAATATTTACCTGCAGACACAACAAAAATTGAAACAATTTATGATACTCCAATTGTTGGATTAACCTTGAAATATTTTCTAGAAAAGGAATCTGATGCTTTTGAGATCAAACCCTCTACTAAAAAAAAGAACAAAGTCATCAAGTCGTTTAAAACCAGTTCCCCAAGCTTCAGCTCCAGTGCAAAATGAACCACATGAAGTATTAGCTTAAGTTCCAGCGGAAGATCCAGTAAAAACTACATCTGAAGCTCCATCTGAAGCTCCAGTCGCTGTACAAGATCTATCACAAGTGCCAATAACACCACAATCTTCTGTTCCAGTACAAGAAATTTCAGTACAAGAGGCCCAAGATCAAACACCAGATCAAATTCAAGATCAAATTCAAGCTTCATCAAATACCTTAGAGGAAACTTTAAGACAAGGGCTATTAATTGAAACTTCAAAGACTACATCTGCTACAAACCCAGCTCTTTTCATTTTATCATTAGCTTATGTTTTACATTGTATTAATGCTACGACATTGGAACATTCACAGAACTGATCTGAATCATTCCACTTCAATCAATTTCAGAAAGATACATTATAGTTTTTTCTTTACCATACATAGTCAATTTACAAAATATAAATTATTAAAATCTCAATGTGTAATACCTTAATGCGATGTACAATTAAACTTGTATAAAAATCTATATAAAGAAAAGTACTTACTAATGGAATAGAGTACAAATACTTCCAAAAGGTCAATAATGAATCGACTTCAACCTCATATAACATATAACTAAAAAAATGTTTGAAACAACTCAAATATTAGCTCAATCTAGACATAAAGTTAAAGTTTTTGAAAGAGTTAAAGGTAATTTATCAAGAGTCAGCTGTAGCCTCATCCTCAAAGGTTCAGTAGAAATAAAAGTTCCCTTCTCCTTTTTTGAATAAAGCTAAATTTGTTTATGTGTCATGATCTTACAGGTTATTATGATTACTCAGCCGTAGCTTTGTGCTTATGTAATCCGAATACCGTAGACAGCGCCTTTAAATTTAGATCTTTTCTTCAGATTGGATATTTATATTTTATCTAAATACCAAAGCGTTCTTTCCAACTATATAAAAGGATATTTGAATTGAGGTATATGAGAATTATGTGATATTTTTCTAGAAGCTTTTAATTATGTCAAAGCTCATACTTAATGAGCTTGTATATCATAAATGAGTTATTTAATATCTAATATTATCAATATAGTTTTAAACAGTCCTCAACTTATGGAACAAACAAGAGAATCATTATGAGCTAATATTCATATAAAATTGTAATTCTTCTCAGTCAAAAGGCATATAAGAAGTGGGAATCCTGAATATTTCAAAATCCTTCTTTTTAATCATCATTCAATAATTAGCCAAATCAATTAACCAAAAATTAATTTAGAGCTACTTATTAACAAACAGTCAAACAACTAAACAAGCAACTAAACAAACAAACAAACTCCCCAGATACAAAACTTTCAAAGCTACTACACCATGTCACGTCTCAGAAGAACTTTAACCCTCTCAAACTATAGAGTTGAAAGAAAACTTGCAAAATTTAGAGAAATTGAAAGAAGTACACCAATGCTTCCAGTCACTTGTGAAATTCATTATAAAAATGGTGCTATAGGAACATGTGAATTCATTTATAACCAAACCAAAAAGAGAATCGAAAGCTTCAAGATTGGAGATTATGAACCAACTGGATTTTTTATTTATAAATTCACATTGGACAGAACTGGTGGTCTTCATACATTTAATTGTTATGCAGTTGAAACTATGAATGATTTAGAAAAAACTGATTATATTCTTTATTATATGGATCCAAGAGTCAAACAATTCTTAAAGGATCGTACATTTGTTAACTATGATCATAGGATTGAATTTAAGCCTGAATTTGCTCCAAAATCAAAAGATGTCACTTTGGTTTATAATTTACCAATTGCATATTTGGTCAAAGGTTATTTACAAGAACAAGCAAATGAAATTGAAATATATAAACAATTGAAAAGATCAAGAACTTTAAGATTTTCAGATGAAGTTTCTACAAGAATTATTACTGCAAGAGGTGAAGAATCTACAACTACCCCAGTTGAAGTAGAAGGTGATTCCATAGAATCTTCAAGTGAATCAGAAGAATCACAAGAAGTTGAAAGCACATCAGAAGAAGCTACTGAAACTACCCCTGCTCCTGAAGCCTCTACTGAAGATGCACCAACCCCAGATGTTGCTCCAGTTGAAACTCCAGAAGTTACCCCAGCTCCAGTTCCAACTGAGACTGAGACACCAGAAGTTACTTCAGAAATTACTCCAGAAACTACTCCAGAAGCTACTACAGAAGCTTTACCAGAAGATACTCCAGAAACCCCAGCTCCAGCTCCAGAGTCATCTCCAATTACCAAAGACAAAACATCAGAAGCATTAGCTGAATCATTTCAACTTTTAGGTCAAGCATTATGGAAACTTTTGATAGTACTTGGTATGTTTTTATCACAAAATTCAACAATTTTTGGGATTTTTTTCAAATTTTTATTGAAATTGATTATTTTATTATTGGCTTATTTATTACAATGTCTTTATATTGGATTAAATTCGAATAATTCAAAAGTTGATGAATTAGCTGATGATGACGATAAAAAATCAACCAAACAATCTACAATTTCATTCAATTTTTAGATATAGTGAGCCACCTAAACCCCCAGTGTCCCTATTATTTTCATAATTTATGTAATATTAATTTTGATACCAAATTATTCATACATTCTTGTAGTTTTAATACTATCAATTCATCATTTTAATATACAAAACATATCATTTATCACGATTACAAAGTCATTACATAATCAAACCAATAATTTTCGACTGCAACAAAAAATTTGTTTCAATATATTACGTTCTTTAATTAATAAGTATTGTAGCCATGTGAAGATTGTTCTTAGTTGATTTTCGTCAAATCTGATTTTTACTACATCTACTGCGGTACTTGTTTGATTTTAGTTCTTAAACATTCATTTGAAAAACAGCAAAGAGAATTTTGTTTCCCTAAAAAAGCAAATTCCGTTGTGTTCATTTCGTGTTCAAGTATTTATTTAGCCTTTAGCATCACTCTCATCTGTCTTGTGTTTTGATAGGTATATGGTTTAGACTGAAATGCAGCTCATAAAGCCTGTTTGTAAAAATTCAATGATATGTGATTTATATGTGTTATTGAACTTAACCAAAACATAACCATTAACATAATATCATGTTATTAAATTGCATGATAAACTTTTAAAGTATATTCATTTTGAAATAAAGATGATTACTTGAAGTTTAACTATCATGTTGAAATATTTTTATCAATACACAGTATTATTCATACTATATATATACCTGTAGAATATTCAGATCAAAGCTTCATCTAAATCTATCTGTACTTTTAAGAAATGAGCTTATACTGCTTTTACTGACACGTTAATTTACTATACATAAAATGACAGAAAATATCCAAGCTGTCCAATTCCTGTGTCAATAGTACATTGAATATTTTTTGTATAATTTAATGCTCATTTTACAAGATTTAAAAGAATTCTTTGGAAGAGTGATATTTAAAGATGATTGAGGTTATTAAACGAGAATGTTGAGTCTTTAAGTGAGATCAATAAGTAAATATATGAGTCAAAATTGTTTGTTTGCGCTTTAAAATATTTTTGAGCGTTGTTTCCCAATTCAAAGAACTTAAATAACGCAGAGGTATATAAAAGAGATTAAAAGCTCTATTTGATATATGAGTTCTCAACAAAATGATCAAATATATTGAAATATTACCATAATGAAAAAGTATAAAAGAGATGTCAATTCCTGAATTTTGAGAAATACTTTTTTCTTCTTGATTCATCATCACAAAACAAACCAACTCAAACAAATAGTACACCCCAATACTATAAACAACCAATTTACACAAATAATTTACACCCCAACTATAAACTACAAACTACTATCAACTTAACCATGGATAAATTAAGAAGATCTTAGACCACCCATAAAGTTTCAAGAACTTTGAAAAAACAAAGATCATTTGAAGAATCATCAGATCAATTTTATATTGATACAAATATTCAAACATTAAAAGGAGAAATTGTTTTTTGTAAAATTCTTTATAATAAAATTATTAAAACAATTGAATCAATTGAATTTTATGATACAGAAATAACTTCACGTTTTGATAAATAATTATATTTTTAAATTTGAAATTTTAAAAATTCAAGGTATTCATAAATGTAGTGCTGGTATTGAAATTAAATTTTTGAAAGATTTAAAGAAAAGTTCAAATAGTACTTGTTTTGTTATGGATTCATCGACTAAAATGTTTTTGAAAAATTGTACATTTATTAATTCTAAAAATGGTGAAATTCAAAATAATGATGGGTTTTTATCTGAAATTCAACAACAACAAGAAGATCAAGAACAAATTATTTCAATTTCTAAAATTTATGAATTCCCAATATCAAAATTAACAATGATATATTCAAATAAATTAGAATCAGATTTAATCAATTTCCAAGAACAAAAAAAATTGAATAAAAAATTGATTAGAGAATATAAATCAAAAATTAAACAAATTGAATTGGAAAATCAAGATATTGAATTAGCTGAAGATGAAATCATAAAGATTAAAGATAATTCCAAAACTAATTATCAACCAATTGTTCAAGAAAATATTTCAGAAGTTCAACCAGAAATTCAAGATCAATCAAAGGATCCAATTCAAAGAGATCCCTCAATCTCAGAATCATCCCAAAACTCAATTGAATCACAAGAATCATTTGATACAATTAATAATGAATTATTAGAATTATCATTGAATTACATTTCTGATTATCTAAATAATCAACCCCTTTCAAAGAATACTGATGAGTTTAATAATCTTGATGAAATGATTGAAATTGTTGATTGATTTTAGTGTGATTTTATTATAGATTACTTATACTGCTTTATTTATTTATTGTTTTTATTTATTTAATATATTTATTTATTTATTTATTAATTCTTTGTAGAATATAGCGCTATATAAACTACAATATAACAAAATAATATACAAATATATCATTTTACTAATTTATCTTCTCAATTGTTTAGCTAAAATTCTTGAGACACCTTTAGTCCTAGCTTTATTCAAAATTTCATTCCATTCATCATCAGATTTCCCCTTTGAGATTGAAGTTAATACATTATAGACTAATCCTGCAAAATCTTGTTTTCTTAATTCATTTTCACGTTTCCATAATTGTCTTTTGAGAATTTCTCTTTCAAGACCTTCTTCATCGCCAATTTCTTTTAAAGTTTTCCTTCTATCTTGAACTATCCCCAAAAGAGAAAATCTTAATTCACCATCTTTAAAATGTGAAATTCTCTTGGAAAGCACTGTTGGTAATTTGGAAATAAATTCATCATCTGTTTCACATAATCCATGATCTATAGGAGCAGGTTGTAAACCATCCAATTCTAATAAATGACCATTTGAAGATCTAACATATCCAACAAAATGATATAATCCATCATCATCATCATCTTGAGGTTGATCTTGTTGAGATTCATCAATGAATGAATTTGGACTTGAAAATGAATTATGTATAGATCTAATTAAATCAGAATTTGATATAGTTTCACCTTTTAAATCAGGATCAAAACTCCCCACGAATTCTTTAAAATTTGTTAATTCAGGTCCTAAGTCAATATCATTACGGTTTAATAACACGTTTAATACAGCCTGTGTAGCACATGCATTTTGAATAGTTTGTTTTGCAAAGAAGATTGAATCTTGATTATCAAAATCATAAACCCCATCTTTTAATTCAGAACCATGACTTGATTGACCATATTTAAAAAGGAAAATCACACCATATAAAGGAGCTATAGAACTTAAAGTTTCCTGGTCAAATGAATATAATTCTTCAAATTGAACATTTTTAACTTGTAATTTCTCCACTAGTTCAGTAAAGATTCCCTTTGAAATTGTTAGAACTCCGAATAATACATCATTGGATGACATTGTATACTCACCGCATCTGATTCTATGGTATTCCATCCACTGGACATCCTTGAAATTTTTGAAACTGTTGGAAAAATCCTTAAAAGTATAATTTCTTATTAGTTGAAGATCCAAAGCATTTACAATAAAAACAATTCGCGAATGTGTTTTGTGTGGCGATTTTTTGCGCAATGAAATTTAAAATTATATAAAAAGATAAGGAGAAGCTGATTTTTGAACTTTTGAATTTGTTTTCTATGATCAAGAGATTTATTAGAAACTATACCAGAATGTCAGGAAAACCATACATTGTGAGTAAATTACCATGGATTGAATAGAATGTCAGAGTCTCTTCTTGTGTGCACAGTTTTTCTGAGTTTAAACCGATCAGTGTGCATTTGCTGGGCTCCTGAAAGGCTTTTGATGATCTTTACAACTTTATAATTGGAGAAGAATTCTAACAAACAAAAGGTCACTTTAAACGAAAACGCTGATGCAGAAAAGTGAGTGTGATTGTGGTTATGATTATGATCTGATGATGATCTGATTGTCTGATTATCTATGTGTCAGATGAAGCAAAGACTAACACTTTCCCAGATTCAAACAAAAAATCACCGATTTAGGTGGTGAAGTCAAACATGAATTCACTATTATCAATGGATTCAGTGTCAACTTACCAGAAGGCCATGTCTCTACTTTAGAATCCCATGAAGATGTTAAACATGTTGAAGTTGATGGAGAAGTTCGTACACAATAGAGCTATGACACCCTGGAAAACTGGAATCTGATGCTCAATTGACATCCCAATTTGACAACACAATGATCCCAAGAGATCTTCTTTAGTTCGTGACTAGATGTTTAGTTTAAGTTTACAAGATGCACAAGTTATTTACAAGTTATTACACACCTTTTCATTTCCTTATTGTAGTCCTGCTCCAACCAGACACATTGTTGCGTTTCAATTGACCCCGGAATCTAAAAGTATAAAAAGGGATGAAGTTTGACCTTATGAACAAGAACAAGATACAATCAGTAGAAGAACATCAACTAGTTTAGTATGTGTCTCAATGGGTTAGCTGGCTCTCCAGCTCATAAGGCCTATATGGCACAACAACAAGCCAAATATCAAAACTTCAACAATGATCCTATCCCTAAACAAATTGATTCAATCTATGAAGATAGATTAAGACAATTTATTGATGAAGGTCAATACAAAGATTTAAATTTACCAAAATTTTATGATAATGATAGAATTGATCATACTAGAGATGAAGATAATTTAGACAAAGGTTTCATTGAATTTAAAGTCCATCCTATCGAGGGGAAACAAAATCGTCCTTTATTTAAAGATGTTATTAATGATGAAACAAAATGGTCAAATGCTAAAAAAGGGGATGTCTTTGGTCCAAGTTGGTCAACTTTTTGGTTTAAATTTAATATTCAAATCCCCCAGAATTGGATTGATCATGAACAAATCATTTTTTCTTGGGATGCTGGTAATGAAGGTTTATTATATACAACTAAAGGTCATCCATTACAAGCGTTTACCGGAGGTGATAGAAATGATTTTATATTACCAAAAGAATGGACTGATGGTAAAGAACATGTTTTTTATGTAGAAATGGCATGTAATGGTATGTTTGGTGTTGGTGCAGGTTCTGATATAGCTCCACCTGATGAAAATCGTTATTTTACTCTAAATACTGCTGATTTAGTTGTACCAAATTTAGAAGCTCGTGCTTTGAAAATTGATTTTAATGAAATTTCAGATGCTGCAAGAGAATTAGCTGGTGATGGATGGCAAAAATATAGAGCAAAACAAGTTGCTTTAGAAATTCAAAATTCATTTGATCCAAATGATGTTAAATCTGTTACCAAAGGTCGTAAAATTGCCCAAAAATTCTTGGGGCCAAATCCTGATTCTGAAAAAGTTTTCCATGATCATGCTCCAGGTTCTGAAAATAAGATTGATGTTTATGCAATTGGGAATTGTCATATTGATACTGCTTGGTTATGGCCATTTGGTGAAACGAGAAGAAAAGTCGTTAGATCTTGGACAACTCAATTAGACTTATTAAATCGTTATCCAGAATATCAATTTGTTGCATCACAAGCTCAACAATTCCATTGGTTAAATCAAGATCATCCTGATGTTTTCCAAAGGATTCAAAAATCTTCATCACAAAATCAATTCATTCCAATTGGTGGATCATGGGTTGAACATGATACAAATATTCCAGGTGGTGAATCATTAATTCGTCAATTTGTTAAAGGTCAAAGATTTTTCCAACAACATTTTGGTTTTAGACATAAGACTTTTTGGTTACCTGATACTTTTGGTTATTCATCACAAATTCCACAAATTTGTCAATTATCTGGTTTAACAAGATTTTTAACTCAAAAATTATCATGGAATAATATTAATAATTTCCCAAATACAACTTTTAATTGGGCTGCTTTAGATGGTACTCAAGTCCTTACACATATGCCACCAGCTGAAACTTATACTGCAGATGCTAATTTAGGTGATGTTAAACGTTCAATTGCAAATCATAAAAATTTAACATTAGAACAAAGTTCTTTATTATTATTTGGTAAAGGTGATGGTGGTGGTGGTCCACAACCTGAAATGATTGATAAATTACGTCGTTGTCGTGGTATTTCAAATACTGTTGGTGGATTACCAACTGTTCATTTAGGTCATTCAGTTGATGATTTTTTCGATCATGTTTTAGAAACAACAAATCAAGGTTCAATTTTACCAACTTGGGAAGGTGAATTATATTTTGAATTCCATAGAGGTACTTATACTTCCCAGGCTTTTGTTAAGAAATTTATGAGAAGATCAGAAATTAGATTACATGATTTAGAATTTTTTGCATCTTTAGCATCAATTTTAAAACCTAAAAACTATAAATATCCTCAAGAAGATATTCAAAATATTTGGTCTGATGTTTTATTATGTCAATTTCATGATGTTTTACCAGGTTCATGTATTGAAATTGTTTATAAAGATGATGTTAGACCAATGTTGAAAAATGCAGTTAAAAAAGTTGAAGATTTAACTAAAAAAGCTTTATCTGTATTATTTGGTGACATTGAAGAAAATAATAATGCTATTGTTCAATCTAATGGTAAATTTGAACTTTTAAATACTTTACAATGGATTAGAGAAGGTGTTGTTAAATTACCAAAATCTTTATCAAATTCTTCATTATTAGAGTCTAATGAAATTGAAATTCAAAAAGGTTTTAAGAATGATTATGTCTATGTTTCCAAAGGAGACAATTCAGATGCTATTGTTCCATTAGCACCAGGTGGTATTAAACATCCAGCTCAAGTTTCAGAAACTAAAAATGGTGAATTCATTTTAACAAATGATAAATTAAAAGTTGTTATTAAAGGTGGTGTTTTAAAATCATTAATTGATTTAGTTGAAGATCGTGAAATTTTAGATTTATCAAGTGGTAGAAATAAACTAGGTGGTAATCAATTTGTTTTATTTGATGATACCCCATTAAATTGGCAAGCTTGGGATACTGAAGTTTTCAATGTTGATACTTTTAGATATATTGAACCTGGTAAAGTTTCTATTAATGAATCAGGTCCATTAAGAGCTTCTGTTATTGTTGAACAAAAAATTAGTGATGTTTCCACTATAAAGACTATAATTTCAATTGATGGTTTACAATCATTAGACCAGGCATCAACTATAGATTTTGATTCAAAAGTTGATTGGAATGAATCAAGAAAATTCTTAAAAGTTGAATTCCCAGTTGATATTCATTCTGATTTTGCATCATATGAAACACAATTTGGTATTACAAGAAGACCAACTCATTATAATACATCATGGGATGTTGCAAAATTTGAAGTTTGTCATCATAAATTTGCAGATTATTCAGATTATTCATATGGTGTTTCAATTTTAAATGATTCAAAATTTGGTTTTGCAACTCATGGAAATTTATTAAGATTATCTTTATTAAGAGCTCCAAAACAACCAGATGCAAATGCTGATATTGGTGAACATCATTTTAAATATTCATTATTCCCTCATAAAGGTCCATTATCCTCTAAGACTGTTGAATTGGCTCACAATTTCAATTATGATGTTCAAACCCCATATTTCATTAAACCAAATGGTGGTGATTTAAATACTTCTGCAATTTTGAATTTCATTCGTATTAAAGGTGATCATAATTTAGTCTTGAGTAATGTTAAAAGAGCTGAAGATGATGAAGATATTTCAACAGGTGAATTACCAATTAAACAAACTGTGGATGGTGGTAAATCAATTATTGTTCGTGTTTATGAAAGTTTAGGTGGTCAAGGTAGAGGTATTTTAACTTCAAATCAAAAAATTGTTTCAGTTTCAAAAGTTAATGCATTGGAAGATGAATTAGAAACTTTGGAATTTAATAAAATTCAAAATGATCATTTTGAAGTTCCAATCAAATTAAGAGCTTTTGAAATTGCAAGTTATAAATTAGTCTTTGCTTGAATATCCATCATAGCTACTTATTCAGTTCATTTTATATCACTTTCTTTTTATATTAAATGCTTTATTTATACATTCGCTTATTTTTATATTGATTATATCTCATAGTGAATAGTTATATACTTTATGTATATCATATCTACAAATACAAACAAATTATTATATTATAATTTAAATTTATATAATTATTACAGATATTAGCAAACATGTTTCAAAATTCAATATTTGAGATACTGTTCCAGCTTTTCATAAGTCATAGGATTACCATTCTCTTTGCCTTCTTCTAAAATCTCACCATGATCAAAATCAATGATCCAAAATTTCTGTTGTTCTTCATCAAATCCAACATTTCTTTTAGAAATTTCCCCATGTATGATTCCAATTTCTGACAATCTATTAACTTGTTCCAAACCTAGTTGTATGTGATCTTTTGTTTTTGGTTTCCATTGGATACAATTAACATAGCTCTCTACGATAAATGGTCCATTGAAATTAAAACTTGCAAGCATTCCATAATTAATCAAGTTTGGAACATTAATTCTCCTTTTATCATCACTGATACCATTATTATAATGCTGTATATGATTCATTATTCTCAATTCCTTAATGAATTTATCATAAAAAATGATTTTATTAAAATAATCTTCGAAATTTCCTTCATAACCCCAATTTTTAATGTTATCATTAAAGTTATCTTGTGCCAAACTAATATCATAAATCTTAACAGCCATACATTCATCATTTGACTCTTTATTCTGTATCAAATTCAATTTTTCAAGATCAGATCTATGGCATAATAAAACAGTTGATTGATTATAATATTCTTCATCTCTAATAGGATTCATCTCTAATAGGATTAGATAGATTTTTGATATATGGTACTCTAGAATAGCAAGGGTAAAATTTGATCAAGTTATTGATATCCAGATTTTTTGAGATCGATGGAGCTGTAGTAGTTGATGAAGCAGATGTTTCCTTCATTGCACTAGAAGAAAATATTGACAAAGAATCTGATAAATAGTTACTAGACTCATCAACATTAGAATTAATTAGATTCTTCAAAGCCATCAATTGCTCTTGTACAATTATTCTGGGACTTTTGGTAACTAGAGGTAACAATTTTTTACTGATTCCTGAGTTTTCAAAACGTTTCCTCAAGGTAATCAATAAAATCATCTCTGTAGATAAATTTGTTTCAAAATTTGGTTCCCCTTGGTGTTTTAATACAGATTGATATGTATTATCAATAATCATATATTGAAAAGGAATTTGTACTTTTTCCACCTTTTCACCTTTTTGATTCTCAGTTTCAATAGTGGTTGTTTCTTTATTACTATTCTTTTTATAATGTAAAACAATGGTAATATTGTGATCCGAAAGGATAGATAGATTTACTTTTAACATAATCATTTGGAAAATAACTTGGTTCATTATCATCTCATGTTTATATGACAATTGCCCCTTTTAAAATTCCACGTAAGTGAGTAATAAATGCAAAATTCCCCAACTCTATCCTTTTCTCTTTCAATTTTTCAAGCAATTCATTTTCACATATTATGAACTGTTCTCTCAAAGATTCCTTGTCATACCTAGTACATGATTCTGGCTTCAAGGTCAACATCTTTATTTTCTTTACAACGAATGACTCTGATCCTTTTGATGAAGATCCATGTTCATCAGTATTATGATTAATAACCATTTCAGATTTATTGAATTCTTCAATACTATCTTTTATGATAATTTCATCGTACATGTCTGAAAGTTTTTCACTTTTAGCTATGAATACAAATTTGATGAAATGTATGATATCTATCCCACAGTTTTCTTCAAAATATTCATGATTTCCAATTAGAAATGTATCTAAAATAAACTCAATAAATAAAAGAAAATGTTTTCGAATAATTGTAATATTTCTTTTTTTGAGACCTTGGTAAAACTTCTTAACATTGATGTCCACAGATGATAGGATCATTTGATTTTCAATGTTCTTTATTATCTTGTCCTTATTTTCTAATACAATTTGATTTATGACAGCATCATCAGACTTTGGTGACTTATAATCAATTTTTTGAGCTTCATTATGTTTTCTTTTTTTCTCTAATTTTTCTGGTTCTTCATCACTTAAATTATTGGATCTCTTGTTGTTTCTGTCCCCCAGTCTTTTCCTTTCTGGATCATTAGACTTGTAATCACTCATTACAAATTGGTACGATCATATCGTTTGTAGTTGATGATATAAATTCAAAAGGTTCTGATTTTATGAGAGTATTAATGAATTATGTATAAGGTATTACACACCCGGACACCACAATATAATATTAAACAATCAACAATTGAATATTAGAAACGTATATGGCTTTGGAATATTTCAATCAAGTTCAAAATGATTTTATTCAAGAGATTCCAATATATATTAAATTGTATTTAAAAGCTTGTGAAATTACAAGACGTACGTTATTCTTTGTCTAAACACCTTCATTATAGTTATTAATTTAACTCGTTTTATATCACTTTCTTTTAATCATAATATCATGTTTTATACACTCACTTGTTTCTATATTGATTATCTTTTATAGTGAATAGTTATATATATCTTATATATCATATCTACAAATGCAAAGAAATTATTTTATTTTTATTGACTAGTTAAATGTTATTTCATTCTTGAACAATTAAACATATCCTGAGCTAGTTATAAATCAAGTAATTCAAAACCACTGATATTATTTCACATCAATTTATAGTTTATAAACATATGGTGATAAATTTGTAAGATGAGTAAACAATTAAAATTAAAGTTAGGAAACCAATAAAAGCACGAACTGGCTCACTTAATTCCTCGTTGTCATTGATATCATGTTGATTCCTTTGTTCAGGAGCTCCACAAGCGTTGCAGTTACCATTATTAAAGGGGTTATCATATGAACCATGATTTCCATAATTTCCAACAGTGTATAAATTACCAGTGGTATTAACTGTTTCATTTTTGTTCAACACATGATGATGATCCCTTGTGATTCCTTCGACATTAATATTATCAAGTTGGGTTTGGAATTTTTCCAGGTAATTTTTTCTGTTAATGTCTTCTAGCCTTTTGTCAATTTCTTCCACTTTATGAGCTAAAGAATATACATTAGATAAAGTTCTTGAAATTTCCAATTGAATATTAATCTTATCAGTTTTATATTCTTGAATCAACTCTTGAAGTTTTGTGTCAGCCATGGTTATGAGATTATAATGATAAAATGAAAGACAACACTCAAATCCTTTTGAGTTGAATCGTTTAAATTAAGTCAAAATTGATCCTTAAGTAAAAAAAAGCAAAGTAAAAAAAGTTTAAAATTTAAAATTCTCATGAGTATTAAATAAATAAATTTGACACATTTCTGACAGACCGGGTAAATAAAACCATTTTGATTCTTCATTTAACCGGTCATTTTACCAGAATTCGCGCATTCAATTGTTCAACATAAGCTCAAATCTCAAATCAAATAAATTTACACTAAAAGAATTTTAATTGATATCCCAGATTAGTGTATCACTATGAGCTCCGATGAACTACTAGTAAAGAAACATGTGAAGTATTTCCAAATGTGTCTCAATGTCTTACCTTCAAGATTACAAAAAGAAGATTCAAATAAATTAATGATTATATATTGTTGTATTGCAGGACTATCAATTTTAAAATATCAATTCACAATTCAAGAGAAAACAGATTTGCTTAATTTCATTTATGAACATCTTGTTGACACAGGTGAAGGATTCAGAGGTTCATTAACACATAAATTATACACTGGTGCTGTTGGTGCTAATTATGATCCTCCAACTATTGCAAATACTTATTGTGCACTTTGTATATTATCAATGATTGAGGAAGATTTCACTGAAAAATTGGATAAATTACAGATAATGAAATATTTAATCAAATGTCAAGACCAAGAAGATGGTTCAATTAGATCAATCGTGGATATTAATGATCAACCATTTGGTGATGGAGATTTAAGACAAACTTATATGGCATTATGTATAAGGAAAATGTTAAATTATAATCCATTAGAATATCAAGGATTAGATTTAAATCTTTCAAAAATTGAGGAAAATATCCTTGGTCAAATTTGCTTTGATGGTGGGTTAGGTCTAGGAGAATCACATGCTGGTTATACATTTTGTGGATTAACTTCATTAAAACTTATAGGGAAATTAAATACCCAAGATTCTAGATGGAACAAGACAATAAATTGGTTAATACATAGACAAATTGATTTCAATGAATATAATAAAGAATTATTAAACACACCATTTGGTGATGATATTGATATTGGATCTCATAATGGTCGTGATAATAAATTTGGTGATACATGTTATTCATTTTGGTGTTCAAGTTCATTAGCATTATTTGATAAAGAATTTTTCATAGATGGTCCTAAAACTGAAAAATATCTTTTAGAAGTTACACAAAATAATATTCTTGGTGGATTTGCCAAATCTGATGCTGATGATCCTGATCCATATCATAGTTTTCTAGCATTATCTGCTTTAACAATAATTAATTCTCATTGTAAAAATGAATTAGAACCTATAGATCCATTACTTTCAATTACGTTAAAAGCATCAACTTTTCTAAAAAAAGATTAATACATAGATAAATATACATATATACAAGATCAGATTTATATATCTAAACTCTATTTACAAATTTTATAATTTCTTCATAAATCCCCCATGCAATACCTGCACTAAATGCTTTTCTTGTTAATCTTAAACTTAAACCATCAAATAATCTTTTAAAACCCTCATTCCGTATAATCATACTAAAACTTTTGAAAAATTTCTGAAATTTTAATGGTTCTAATTGCATCCTTGTCTTTATAGTATCAAATGGAGCAGTTATAGTGGTGGATGCACTTGCAGCTAAAAATGCAGATGTTGAATTAATTATAGCAGATTTTTTCCTATTAAATAAATGTTCATTTGTAATTGATGCTTTATTAATATTGAACAATGTTGGTAATAAAGTTTTGAATTTTTCATACAAGACAACATAAAGTCCTGCATATGGAGAATCACGAGCTGCTGTTGCTGCAAATCCATTGAAAAAACCTTTGATACCTTCATGTTTCCAAATAGATTTGATTGAATCACTTAGGGAATTATAATTATATATTGTTGATTCATAACGAACTTTTAGCACTGTAATGGGCATCAATATAAACCCAACAAATCCTCTTGTAGCACCACCAGTTATTAAATTTTCAGTCATTGATAATTTTGGTAATGTTGAACTTGATAATATTTCCACTTGATTTAATTTCCTACTTGATATTGAAGTTCTCAAGACATTTAAAGTTGCCAAATATAATGAGCTTCCAATTGAAGTTCTCATTGCTGATGGTAATGTACCTCTCCATAATTGTTTATAACTTTGTAAATTTTTTATTGTAGTTTTTAAATTCCCACTTTCTGATTGTTGTAATCTTGTTTTAAGTAAATCAAAAGGTTGAAGTATAACAGATGAAGTTAAACCTCCGGCAAACCCACCGATCAAATGTGAAGTGGTATTGGTATCTTTTGACATGTATGAGATTGATGGTAGTTTAGTGGTGGGGTGTAGTGGTGGATCTATGTGATTACTTCTCCAGATATCATTATAAATGGATCTTTAATTGCAAGTTGAAAAATCTGACACTTTATATGGTTTGTACACTTCGGAGCGGGTACAAAAGATTTAAGGAAGCAAATAATCAAACTATTTTTATATATTTAAGTACTTTACGATTATAAATTATTAAAAATGATTATTTTTTTGAACTCTTCATTATGAGAAGTAGTTGGTTATCGATTTTAATGGGATTTTAATCAATCTTGGTTGTCTGGGGATATAGCCAATAATACTCACGACAATGTCAGGAGTAACTTTAGTTAACCAAATGTTTTCCTTCTGAGGTTCATTGGTTATTTCAAGTTTTGTTGAGTTGGACCAATTTATATTATGTCGTATAATCATTGGGTCATCCATTTGTACGGGGTTTGAATTTTCTGGTAATAATTCAACATTCTGGAAATTATAAGAACTTAAATCACTGTTCAATCCAATACCTAAATATTTGGTATAACTTTCTTTCAAAGCCCAATAAGTTGTAAAGATTAGTTTCAGCTCATCTTTATTTGTATGTTCCTCGAGTAATTTGAATTCATTTTCATGGAAAATGTTTTGGAAATGATTTAAATAATCTTGTTCAAATTTTTCAACATCTTTACAACTTGCCAAATCAATACCAATTTCTTTACCATTAGGATTAATAACCATCGAAGTGTAACCTTGTTGATTACTCATACTGAAACTAAAATCAGAACCAACCAAGTAAGGTTTCCCATATTCATTTTGTTTGAAAACTAATGAACTTTGATCAGTTGTTCCCAAGTATAAACATGATATAAACCTTTGTAATAATTGATTAGCCAATGCAGTTTTAGCATCTTGGTGGAATTTTTTTGAAATAATTTTGGTTTGTTGTTGAAATGGTAATAATCTTAGTGCAGTTTCAAACTAAGAAGCCAGTGGTTAGTAACATTATCACTCAATTCATTTCTTTACTACTCACTTGATAATCATCATCCCATGTCTCATCAATTTCCACGTAGAAAACCACAGTTTCCGAGCCATAACTCCTTTTGAACTCGTTGAAACTGGATATAATATTCTCTTGACTCATAAGTAACCACTAATACTATTAAGACAACTCCACAAGTACACTGTCTTTCTTAAAATTACTTCCAGTTCCACCGAGGTTATAATTAATACCCATTTGAATCGTCAGGGCTTTAAACCGTTTTCTTTGATTTCAAATTCTGGAGAAGCGAAAAAAAGCCATCAACAATTTGATAAGGAACAGGAAACAACAACGTTCAAGAAGCAGTGGAAGAAAGGTATTATTGGTTCTGAAGAGAATATCACGATGAGCATCAGAGAAGACCTCGTGACTAATGCAGTGTCCTTTTTGAAGGACCCTCAAACGGTTTCTGCGCCTTTAGATAAGAAGATTGAGTTCTTAAAGAGTAAATCTCTCACACAGGAGGAAATTGATGAAGCGTTGAAAAGAGCTAATGGAGAGTCAAATGAAGCAAGTACAAGTGAAATTCAACCTAAATCTAGTACAAGTCAAAGCCCAAGCCCAGCTAATGATTCATCACATTCAATCACTTATCCACCACAATATTATACTGCACCTCCTCCACCTGTTCCTGAAAGAGATTGGAAAGATTATTTCATAATGGCTACTGCTACTGCTGGTGTTGGTTATGCTTTATATCAAATTACTACAAGATATTTGATCCCAAATATCTTGCCAGAATCTAAAACCAAGTTAGATCAGGATAAACAGGCTATTGAAGAAGAATTCTTAAGAATTGAAGCTTCATTAAAAGAAATTTCTGAAACTAATAAAGAATTAAAAGATAATGAAAAGGTTAAAAATGAAGAAATCTCTAAAACCATTGAATCTGTGGAGGAAGTTATTCATGAAACTAAAACCAAAAATGAAAAAATTGAAAGTGATGTTAAAGTTTTAAAATTAGAAATTGAAAATTTAAAAAATTCATTAGACAAATCAATTAATAAACAACAAGATTCAATATCATTTGAAGTTTCTAATTTACAAACTGAATTAAAATCATTACAACAATTAATCAAATCTAAGAATAATCAATCAATTTCATCTTCAAATTCAAAATCACCAATCCCTTCAGTTTCTTCAATCCCAACAGCAAGTGAAATTCTTAAAAAAGCGAACTTATCAAATGAAAGTTCCAAAACTCCATCACAATCAAATTCACCAGATTTAAACCATGATTCCAAACCAACAATCCCAGCATGGCAACAATCTAGACAAACTCCAATTAACAGTGGTAATGGTAATAATAATAATTCTATACCAGCATGGCAACAATCATCAGCAGCTAATGCTAATGCCACAAACTCAAATTCATCAATTCCAGCATGGCAAAGATCCACAATTGAACATTCAAACTCAAACTCTGACTCAGATTTAAATTCAACAGGGTATAATGAAAGATCAACTGTTGAAATTCCAAAAGATCAAAAATTTGAAGCATGATTTTATCTCCTTTGTTCCATAATTTAAATGTATAAATTTATATATGATATGAAACTTACAAATACTAGTTTTTAATTAAAATCAAAACTTTTTATTAAATTTCTATATATTTTAAAGATCACTAATATAACACATCTCTCCCAAACTTTTTTTAAAACCAAAATTTATATAAAACATTTATATATAAAGCCATAAATCACACACCACCACAAACAAACTTAATAATGATTATTATGTTTCATGAATATCCTTCCTTATAAAACCACACACATAAATACACACACACACACACACACACTAATTAAAGACTAAAAAAACACTAAGATAATATAATATACATAAACTTTTCATGCCCAAACAGAAGTTGAATTTGAATTTGAATTTCCAATTTTTTGAGAGTTACCATTCCATAAATCACCTAAATAAGTATTTGAATCTTCAAATCCAATACCAAAATTTAATCCATTCATACCGTATCCATTCAATCCAGTTTGTTGATTTGTTGATAAATTTGAAGGACTATTAGTCTTGATACTTTCTAATGAAGGATTGATGCCATTTGTAATTGGGATTATTGGTTGTGTTAATGATTGTGTTAATGGTTGTTGTGATAAAGGTTGTCCTTGGATACTTGAAACTCCTGAAGGGAATGAAGATCCTGAAATGGTAGTTGGTGCAGAAATTGGTAAATTATTTGATAAATTTGAAATATTTGAATTTCTACTTAATGATCTCAAGGGGAAATTTGGTGATGATAAATCTTGATTTGATTGAAATTCATAATTTTTAAAATCATTAAATCCTTGAGATGATTGAGTTGGAAATTGTTGTTGTTGATATTGTTGTTGAGGTTGGGATTGTTGAGGTTGAGGTTGAGATTGAGTTTGAACAACTGATTGCTGATATTGTTGTTGTAATTGTTGTAACATTTGTTGTTCCATTACTTTAGCAGCTTGAAATGATTGTTTATCTAAATTTTTAGTATATTGTTGATTTAAATGACCATTTGATAATGAACCATTTGATAATTGTTGTTGTTGTTGAGCTTGTTGTTGTAACAATTGTTGTGATTGAACTTGAGATTGAACTTGAGCTTGAGCTTGATTCTTATATTGTTGAATAATTGGAATTTGTTGATGGAAAGAACGTGAATTATGATTATTATTATAATTGTTATGATTATGACCGTGATTATGACCATGGTTATTGTTATGATTATGGTTATTATGGTGTCTATTGTTATAATGATTATGATTGTTTTTATTAGGATGAACATTTGGAGCATAATGATGATTAAATGGTTGATGATTTGTAAAATTAGTTATAGCTTTTTCCACTTCACTAAATTGGAAAACAAAAGGATGACTTTCAATAACTGGTTTTGATGATTTAATGGAATCACCATTCATTGTGGAAGAGATCACTTGAGTAGACATGATTAACAAAACACCAAAATATTTAGAAATAACTCAATAATAAACCAATAAATCAATAATTAACCAAAAGATATAGATATAGATGAGACAAAAAGATGCAAAATTGAATAAAACGAGCGAACAGTGAACAATTCCCGGGAAAAAACACCACAGAGAGAAAGACACAATGCAAATAACGAACCTCCTCGAGAATAAACCTTGGAAAAGACCTTAAACAATGGTTTTAAATGGTTTTAATTTGGAAAACTTACACTACAAAACAAAAACAATGTCGAATATTTTTTTTGAGTGAGTCCTAATTGGGAAAAAAATGGTCGGAATTTCTTAAAATTAAAGTCATGTGACGCGTCAGATGATTAAAGTCGGAATTCACTTTCGATTATTTTGATTTCAATTTCTCATAAACGAAGACAACTTTTTTGAGTTTGACTCTTTGAATCTTTTGGCGGTTAATTTGATTTCTATTCAATTGGTATTTACTATTATGAGTGCTGGTGATGTCAGTTTGGAGACGCTGGTCAAGGTTTGTTTGAAAAAAAGAGCCACTTCACAGGTTTTCTTATCGTTGTTTAAACAGTTGAACCATAAACAAGAAGTTGGTGTTGAAGATTTAGTGGGATTGTTGAAGACTAGACAGGAATTTGATCCTTTAGAAGTGGTTTATTTGACAAGTGCTTCATTGGGAGATCAATCCTCGAACTTGAGATTGGCTAAACTATTGGAAAATTTAGGAATTGCCACCGAGGAGAATCAATATTTAATCTTGAATTCATTGACAAATACATCAAGAGATGATCATTTCAAAAGTCAATTCCCTTTCAATTCATTTGAAATTAGTGCCATATTAACTTCATTATCAAGTTACTTCAAAAACCTGCTAGAAAACCAACAAAAACAACTCATAATATTTGAATCTATATGTTATTTTCTTAATGTGCTATTTGAAATTATCCCATTTGAAATATCTCCTTTATCACCAGAACAAAATGAATTATTAACTATAATTATTGGTGAGATTAAACATCAAGGAAACCATCATTTAGCTGAAACTTTGGAATCTAATATTCATAAATCATTGAAAAAATCAAACAATAGACAATCAATATCAAACCCTTCATCATCAGGATCTTCAAATGCATCAATCACATCAACATCTTCACATACATCTCATCTATCATTCCTCAAGACAAATAAATTACCCAAATTTATATGGTTGAATTCTGTAATACAAAATTGGGAAACAAGTAGTGATAAATTCTTATCAGCATTTAGTCAATTTGTTAAAGTTAAAACAAATCAAAATATCTTAAATGAATTGATTAATACATCATTTGAATGTATTACAGTTGTATTACAATCAAGAGATTCATCAGATTTATTCATTAAGAATTGGAAATTGTTCTTCACCAAAAAATTACCAATCTTGATTAAATCATTAAATTTAAAAAATATTGAATCTTTATTAATCAATGCCCTAAATTTAATTGATCCAAAAATTTTCAAAACTATAAAATTAATTTCTAGTGATGGTGATAATAATAATCTTGGAGATCAAAATGATGATATGTTTTCTTCATTCCCATCAACAAATACAGATATAAGACATGATTTCCTAAGAAGTTGTATTGCATTAAAATTATTACCATCTACAGCTTTCAATACCATATTAAAAGAAGATTCAAATGCAGAAAATAGACCTTTATTAGAAAATGATGATGCCTTGGATCTAGATGGTCATGTTATTGATTTACAAACAAGATTAAATCAAACATTAATTGATATAAATCCTGAATTTATACCATTAGAAGATTCTGGATTATTAGAGTTTTTAAATTCAATTGAACAGTTTGAAGGTACAAAACAATTTGAAATTTCAAAATTAATTCTTGATACAATTTATAAATTTATTGAAGAAGATGATTTTCAACATTTTTATAGATTAGCCTTGGGGTTAGGATTATCTGAGGGGGCATTACATTCAATAATTTTCCAAATTTCACCTGAAGTTTTAATTAAACCAATAATGAAATTTTTGGATGATTGGGAAATTTCAAATGATGATAGTAATTTTCAAGATTTATATTCATCATTTGGTGTTGTTTTATTATTATTTTTATTAATTATCAAGAAATATAATATTTCATTAAATCAATTATTATTAATGAAAGATAATAAAAGTTCATTCTGTATTAAATTTTTAATTAATTTAGGTTCATTAAAACAATTTGAAAGTAATGATAATATTAATCATGAACAATCTGAATTAATTAATGGTTGGATAAATGCATTATTTGATTCAGGTGGTATATCAGATGATTTAATGAGATTATCAACAGTTCAAGAATGTTTCCAATTATTCCCATTAATTTTCCAACATGCATTCATTGGAGTTAAAAAAAATTTAGTTGATTTAGATACAGTTAAAGGTGGATTAGAATATTTTTTACAACCTTTTTTATTAAGTACTATAGTTGGGATATTATCATGGTGTGAAAATTATTTTTGGAAAAATCAAGATTTAGAATTATTAGTTTCATTAATTAAAAATTTAATTAATCCAATGGATTTAAGTGGTGATTCAATTCATATTCATAAATTTGTAATGTTAATTTATGGAAAAAATTTATATGAGATTTTATCAACCTTACAAAGAACTCAATCAATAAACATTGATTCATCAATTTTAACAAATCTTCAAACAAATTGGGATCATAGTTATAATACAAACACCAGTAACACCCATAAAACATTCAATTTCTTCGAGATTAATACAAGTCCAGTTTTCAATAAATTTTTAAAAAATGGTATTATAGATAAAAATTCTAAAAAAATTGAAAATCAATCATCACCATTATTACAATTTCATAATCAATTTCAAAGTTTAATTAATTGGAATAATCAACAATCATCAGTAATCATATCAAATTATGATTATCAAAACTTATCAATATTGACTCAAATAATTGATGAAGATATTATAATCGATTATTTCTTGGGACAAATTTTAGAATCACAATCATTGAATAGTAAATCATTTCATTTAACATTAGAATTATCAACTTATTTATTAACAGTGCAAATAATTGATTCGATCAAGACAAAAGATTATATATTAAATTCACTGAAATCAGGTGAATTAATGGAACAAATATCAATTGAATCAATAAAACCATTTTATAAAATATTGAGTACCTTGATTCAAAAAAAGAAATCAATTGAACATGACAATGATGAAATTAATAAAGAAATTTTCAAGATTTTTTATAATCAATTTATTGAATGTATTCACAATTTTATACCATTGAAAGAATGATTTTATACTAGTGTGTATAAAGGTGAACTTAATGAATTGATGAATATTATTGAACATTAATAGATGATAATATCTTGTAATTAAATAGCTTTGAATACTTATATAATATTGAATATGAGATTAACAAGTTTATATATATGGTAAGGGCAGACCTTTTCACGAAATTTTTTAATTAGTTATTTTAAAAATTTGATATCTAATTTATATTGCGTACCCTAACACACCTGAATGGTTATTCTTTCATAATCAAACTATCTTTTGCGTTGAATATTGATCTGCTGTTAGCGAGTCCAAAAGGTAGACGTTTAATTTGACCTTGAAGTGAATTAAAGCTAGTATATATACATCATGAGCTAATTTCATCTGTTTCCATACCAGGATGTAATTATATGCCTTTTATATCTAGTTGTTTCATTCTTATACTGATTGCTACCTTGAAAACTGTTTTATGTTATGAACTGATACCTGTGCACAGAATTGTCATAATTATAGAATGATTAAATCGCTTACCAAGTTCTAAGTTTAATTCATTGGTCTTTAAAAGGATAGATGTACTTTGGAGTTTTTGGTATGATTTTTTTTTTAATAATATACATATTTTGGATTCGTTCAAATGATATTTAGATGATCATTGAATCATGATATGTAGGTAAATCGATAATAAAAGAATTTCATTAATACAGGTTAACAGTTAACCCGTCTAGAATTCTAATCGTTTCTCATTGATTAACGTGTTCAAGTGATAATTTATATTGACATAATTAATTGTTTTTCAAAGACATTACGTAATCGTGATCAGAAATATAACATAGCTATAGAGCAAATTTCAATTCAAATATAGACTCTTTATCTCTATATCTCTGTTCATTTAGTTCTTCAGGCTGTGTTATGGATTTAAATGAGTTCCTTTTAGAACTGGTGAATTAATGAGGTGTGTTCTATCATCTATATAACATTATAAACATTGAGACATACTAGTATAAAATCATATGATTAAATTAACTTTTAAGTATATTCACTTTGAAAGATATATGATTTGTTGAAGTTACTACATTAGGAAGTCAAGGATGTGGCAAGAATTAAAGTTATAATTGCTATACTGATTAGGAGAACAAGGGCACCAAGTTATATATATAAATACATGAAGGTATTCTTTGGGATACTTAGGTTCAGGTATAGGATATGGATAACGGATATCATATGGATATGGGATAAGACATATACCTTTACACAAGACTGAACAGCATCATATCATTCAACCATTATATTATTAGTAGAAGTCTTAAGTAGCGATGACAAGAAGAAGATCAACCAGAGGATCCACTAATACTAGAAGTGTAAGAGGTAGTTCTAGAGGAAGAGGAACCACAAGAGGAAGACCAAGAGTATCTAGTACCAATGCACCTGACGTTGATAGGTTAGCTGACCAACATGATTGCTAGAAGTCCTAGTCATGTGGAAATATTTTAATTATATATGAATTCTCTCTTTCGAAATATTTGATTGATCAATATTGATCATACAAGTTTGTAGTGAATATCCAGCTTCACATTTCAATTATACCACTATACTTGTATTAAATATGATTGATGACTTATTGAAAGCTGAACACGCGTTCAACATGGTCATCACAAGCAAGTTTAAGTACTGGGGGTGATATTTTCACAAATTACCTAAGATAAAACTTTGTGATCTATCTGTATTAATATTGCAATAATTTCTTATCATGGTCGGTTTTAATCGGGCTTAATAATGGACTCTTGAATAACTTAAATTTAAACAAAACGTAAAACTTTTGATAGACAAAGGAGCTTTTAAAGCAATATTTTATGTGTTATAAAATTCCATGATGTACTGGTATATCAGTATACTTGAATTTCTGAGTTTTTAAAAATTTTCTAAATTTTAATGATTTGTTTCTTATAGTTTAAATAAAATTTATCAAACATTTGTATATTTTCTAAATTAATTTTGAATTAAATTAAATTATAAATTAAACAGCAATTTTAAGCTGTTCAAAGAAACCGATATAATATTTGATATTGGAATATCAATACTGATCATCTTTCAAGAAAACACTCAAATTTTGACATTTAAATATGATTCAATTAATACCTGATTACATAATCGTTTTGCAAAAGATTATAAAGTATTAAATATAACGAGCAATACGAGTTAATCGTTTCTCCATATGCCTTATAGTCGAAGTTATTTTAATATTTGATCCAACTCTCAAGTACAATTCTTGATCTTGTTTAATAACTTTTATATATGATCATATTGGTTGATTTTTAGCTGATTCAGCATTTTAAACAAAAATGTTATAAATTATGAATCAGATGAGCTCTATATAATTACAATTATGAACTATTAATTGAAGTTCAAATCATACTATTGACTTACATTTCATGAAATTTCAATAATCTTTCTATTCTGATCTTCTGATATTTGTTATATAGCTAATAAATATCCAGATGATGTGTACTTGTAACCATATGGATTTGAATACTGGTAAATCTCAACGTCTATTGGAATCATTACTCATCACCAGTATTAATAACTTGTACTATATGCGATAAAACCGTTATTATTGATGTAACAAATACTACAAAACTATGGAGTTTCACTGCATTGCCATACTGTCATTCAATTAAACAAGTGATAATATATATCATATACTTTTCCTACTTTAGTTCATTGGTATTTTAGATAAAAGATTGATTTAAAGCTTTGGTATAAATATAATTTTTCAACAAAAACTTTTTTCCTTGCAATCAATAAGATGTAGATGTTCAAAAGAAAATTTGTTCAAGGTCACTTTTCAACCTTTCAGAAGTCATTGGATTAACATACCTTCTCCCTTCAGGTAACATTTCACTATGATCAAAATCAATAACCCAAAATTGTTGTTCATCTTCATCAAACCCAACATTTCTTTCTGCAATATCATCATGATTAATTCCAATTCCCAGCAGTCTATTGAATTGTTCAACACCTAATTCTAGACTTTCTTTGGTTTTTGGTTTATTTTGGATACAATGAACATAGTTCTCTATGATAAATGGGCCATTATATCCATAACTTGTAATCATTCCATAATTCAACAAACTTGGTACGTTAATTTGCTTTTCTTTATTTTTGTCATTATCATTATAATTTTGAATGCGTTTCATGATCTTCAATTCATTCAAAAATAAACCTTTATAAATATGTTTTTCATAATATTCCTTGAAACTTAATTCTTCATAATTATATTTCCTTTCAAATTTTGAATCAAAATGAAGTTGTGACCATCCAATATCATAAATTTTCAAGATAACAAGATCATCATTTGATTCTTCATTGGATTTTATAATATTTAACTTTTCAAGTTCAGATTTTTTGCATAATAATACAACAGATGGATTATATTCATCACCATTTTTTGAACCTGATAAAATATCTTCATATGGTAATTCACATGGACAATGAAATATTTTAAAATCATCATTAACTAATGAAACAGTTTTAGATAAAGCAGATGTGCTTCTCATCTGAGAAGAAGAACCTGCAATTGGATTTGAGTTTGACGAATCATAATCATTAGGCTCTTTAGTATCAAAATTAACCATCATTTCTTTGAAAAAATTCATCTTTGTTTCTTGACATTGTTTAGGAGTTTTAGATACTATAGGTAAAAGTTTCCTAACATTACCTGAACTAACAAAAGGATCTCTTGAAATAATCAACATTATCATTGGTAATGATAATTTATCCTTAAGTTCCAAGTCCCCAGGGCAATTAATTATAGATTCAAATGTATTGTCTAAAACAAGATATTGAAAAGGTATTTCAACCATAAAGTTCTTATTTTCTAATTCAAATTCAGAAGTATTTTTATCACCATTTTTTTGATAATGTAACATGATTGTTTTATTTTGATCAGAAACGAAACTAATATTAGTATCACATTGAATCATTTGTGAAATAGCTTCATTAAAGATTTTTTCACCTTTAGAAGACATCATTGTTTGGTTATCAATTGTTTCAATTAAATTTTCAGCATTAAAAAATCTAACCTCAATTGGGTATTTTTTTTTGTTAAATTTAATGAATCCTTAACATAAATAGTAATAGTTGGAGTTATAATTTGACCTAATAAATGTATAAAATTCTGTTTCTGAGATTTGAATGCATTAGGTATTTCATATCTGAGTGTTCTAATAGGGGAATAATCAAATACATCAATTTCATAAGCAAAATCACACAAATTTTTAAAAGGACATATCATTGATCGACCAAATGAACCAAAATCAAATAGCTCTTCTCTAATAGCGTTACTTCTATTAAATATTTTTTGATCATAATTATCAACTTGATCTTGAGTTGTGGTATTTTGTTCACCATGAATATCTTCAAAATCACTTTCTTCATCAATGAAATCATCATGTTTTTCTTCATCCATTTTACCTGCCCTTCTGCGATGGGAAAATCTTGACTCTCGGAATATCATAGTCACACTCATAATAATTCTTTTATTTCAGTTGTAAAATCATAATCACTCAATTCATTACGTTTTTCTTTCAACTTATCAAGTAATTCATTTTCACATTTAATAAATTTTTCTCTTAATATATCATCATCAAATTTTGAAGAAAAATTTGATTTTGGTTTCATATTTTTAAAGCAACCAATTAAATTAGTATCAGTAGTATCAATGTATTGTAAATTATCAATATATGGTCTAATGAATGGATTTTTTTTAATAAAGAAAACAAGTTTAACAAAATGTATAATATCAATTTCAAGATCCTCAGTATGACGTACTTCTGGATCAATATACATCATTAGAAAATCTTCAATGAACTCATAGAAGTTTTTTTTGAAATACTCAATAGTTCCATGTTCAAGACCTTTGTAGAAATTTCTAATATCAATATCCAATGAAGATTTAACCATTTCTGATTTAACATTTTGCATTAATTTTTCCTTATTATCTGATATCAATCGATATATCAAAACTTTTTTATTATCTGATTTTTGTTTATTTTGCTTTTCATGATCATTTTCAACATTAGATTTATTCAAACTTTGCTTATCAGAAGAATTTGCGACTTTATCATCAACATCAACTTTATGTCCCATCTTCTTCTTCTTATTTTCAGTAGAATCCAAATAATTTGATCTATTTGACCTAAAGTTATCCAGTCTTTTCTCTCTAGCAGATTTCCTTTTACGACCCATGACTAGTTTTGAACCTTTTACTCAACTTGAAGAATGCACAAAATAATATTAATTGATGTTAAACTTAATGAGTATAATTGTTCTCGAGAAGACAGATTACGTAAGACATTGCGATCTCGAATACATAACCAATGACATAATCAATAAACAATTGACGCGCATGTTTAATTTTATTAATGGTTTCTAGCAATTCGAGTAATATTACATTTTCTTTCAAAGAATATCTTTGTTTTTCATTAAAGATTGGACTGCTTGAACAGAGGTGTTCCATCTAGTAAGGCTATAGAATGTTTATTGACTTTCAAGTGATTAATGAAACAACAATTAATCAAAGGAACTGCATCAACAATTGATGAATTAATGAATAACAATGATGATTCAATAACAACAAGCAACGAAGTACAATCACATGTCTAATGGAAGACTGATCAGTGGTTTCTATATCACAAGGTGATGATAATGTCAATATGTTTATGTGTTATTCAATAACCAAAACATTATTGAAACATGAATATTCTGTCTCTTAACTTTAAGTATATTCATTTTGAAAAATAGATGATTACTAGAAGTTTTTGATCATTATTTTATTTCAAATAAATGATTTTTTTCTCTGAAATTGATATTCACAAATCCTTCTAAATTGTAGCTGTTAATATTTAGTTACGCGTCAAATGCAATACAATAAATAATATATTGCTAATGTCATAGTATTAATATACATCTAATTCAAATTTTTATAAACATAAAACATAAAAACAACAATTCTAAAAATACATATATAAAACAAACAAATTTTCATTAAAATCTCATACAATAGCAACTAAAAAATATTATTTTCCAATTGGTGTTCCAATTCTTGTTGGATTTTGATTTGATCCATCATCAAAATTTCCTTCACCTTCATGATACATATCTTCAATATTTTTCTTTTTTTTATTCAATTCTTTAGATTGTTTTTTTTCCAATTTCTTTGCCTTTTTTTCTTCTTCCAATTGTTTTCCTTTC